CATGGGCCCGAGTGCCGTGTTGCCACGAGAGAGGCTGTGGAAAAAGGTGGGGAAGGACTATATCCTTGCTCATCTTTTTCCACAACTTCAATCGACGCAAAACGGCATTCCAAACCCAGAGATTGAAACCAGTCACTGCTGTTGGAAATTCATTTAGAATTTGTTCCAGTCGCAGTACAAATGCCTCCGCAGCAATCTCAATTCGCTCATCCAAAAGAAAGACCTGCATTCGAACGTACCTGAAGAGTTCATTCAAGCAAAAACAACTTTTTTAGTTGCGATGCACTGGATAGTAAGAGGCCATAAATCGAAAGAACAAACCAATCAAAGTCACTGGACATTTGCTCTAATGTTCAAATTTGTTTCCTGTTGCTTGCCACAACCTCATCCTCTTTGCATGGGCACGAACCCCAGAAACCGTCCAATCTTGAGGTGTGGACTGTCTGGCTGAGACGGGCTCGAAGTTCGTGTTTCAATGCTTCCTTGCAGACCCGACAAGCAGGATTGAATCACGGCAACGGGAGTTGCAGCATGCTCTGGCTCTGGGTCTGCCATAGATCTGGCTGGCTTGACACTGGTTTGACAGATTTGACAGCCAGGGTGGCTACGGACTTCTGGGCCGAAAGCAAGCAAGGGAAAGGATCAAGTGATTCAAAAGAGTAATCAGTGAGAAGTGAATTAGCCGCAGAAATGATCTTCAACAAAGTGGTTTTGAGTCATGATACCCATATTAGTATTATACCAGTATCAGGTTACCACTATGATACCAATGCCAACATTATAACAGTTGTAACATAAACATGTGCGACATGACAGCCGTGCAGGACCCTTGGGCCCTTGAAGCAGCACGTGCTGAGTCATCCTGAGTATGGCACCCATAGCCAAGCCGGTCACCTAGCCAGAGCCACTCATCAGCACATCAGCCTAAGCGAAGGTTACTGTCAAATGCATGTCATAAGCGGTAACCATTTGATTGTTTCATGTCTCAACCGCCACAAGAATTGAGTCAGAGATTAGTTTCACATAAAGCTGTCTAACAAATGATCTCTTAAATCTCTTAACCACATTCAGAGGATTTGAAGATATGTAGAAGATGGCACCCAGGGCACCTGCACAAATCACAAACCAACCAGGCTTCAGGAACATACTGGTGGACTGTGACGGAGTTTGACGGACCCCCAAGATCATTCGTTTATTCTGATCCCAAGCTGACCACTCCGAACATTCTTCGATTTTTTGATTACAAATGCAAAGTCATACAGTCAGACCAGTAAGGCATGCCAAACATGTGTATAGAGCACCTGTGTATCCAAAGAACGAAAAGAATCTACGAGCCTACAAGACAAAGTCAGACAAAGCCAGACAAAGCCGACAAAGTTGTTTCTTGGGTCTGGACCCGGACCGGGCTGCGGCTGAGGACCCTGGCCATGGCCTACTCTACTACTCATCCACAGCTGGCAAACATGGCAGAACTTGTCCGAGCACCTGATCGCGCAAGGGACCGCAAAGGCAAAGGAAAAATCATAATTAAGACCCATGCGTCGTTTTTCAATTATGTTGTCTTGCGTTTCATCCAATGGCTGCCAATGGCTCTCCATTCAAGGGTCCTAAGGCTCCTAAGGCTTCCCTAGACATAGACAAGTCAAGATAAGATTATTGATTCTAGATTCAAGATTGTCAAAGCCAGCTTAAGAAACAATGAGCAAGCATGGCAATCCAATTTGCAATCGATGCAGTCAGTCGATATTCTGAGATCATGGGTCTCCGAGCTTTGCCATCGGCTGTGCCGTGGAAGAGGAGGAGGCGGCGACAGATGCTGACCTTGCCGCGTGGAGCCATCAGCCCCAATTTGGTGCAGTAGCTTGACAGCAAAAGTTGGTCAAGCTGCCTCCTATTGAGATTTGATGATTTGAAGTTTCCAAACACATTATCAAAAACAATATCATATCAGTATCATATCACATCAAAACATATATCATATAGCAATATAATATAATATCATAGCACTGACTGTTTGGCTGTTTGCTATTTCTGAACGCACCGTTTCCTTTTCCCACACTTTTGAGGCTTGAGTTTTGAATCATTCAAATGAACAAAAGAGAGACCCGTAGCAGCACCGAAACTAGTGAATGTTGTTGATTCAACTCCGTTGTCATATGTCTACAAATACATTGTGTGACTAGATGCAAATCTTACACTTAGTATGACTCAAAAAGACTAGGCTCCAGGCTGGACTGAGGGTGATGACTCTGATGGCGGTGATGACATAAATGATGGGAGCATTCCCAAGTCAAATTCCTTCTTCGCCATCAGGAGTTTCTTTTGCTTTGACAGCTCCAAGCCCGTAAGCTTCGTGGCCAACCCAGCAGAGCACTCAGCCGCGTCGGGCTTGATTCCAAAGCAGTGCTTGATGATTGGGGACTAGCAAGATGAGTTTACGGGGTGCTTGTATGTGTGCGAGCAAGATGAGTTTACGGGGTGCTTGTATGTGTGCGTGTGTATGTACATGAGATGGTTGTAGACACAAACTCAAAAACGGCTAAACCGAATGGGCCATTGCCTTTTTTCTCGCGTCACTGCAGCTCTGGCTTCATCGGCGCGTTGCCGATGAACGCGTTTCCTACCCAAACTCGGGCTTCAACGGCTGCCTCCGCATTCAACGGAGTGAAAGGTAGTGCGCCAAGGGCCTCCGCAGCGGCAGCGATACATTCAATATGATACGTGCTGTGCACCTGGCCTGGCAGAGGGCTTCCAGCGTCCTGGTGTAGACCTCCTCCACCGGCGCGGAGAGGTAGATCACAAGAAGGTGTTCCCCACACCGGCCGCACATCACCTGCTACATTGAATAGGATCTTAACTTCAACTTTTCTCCAGGAGGGATCAAAACTGCCACCCCCCTCTGGCCAATACATTGAATAGGATCTTACCTTGAAATTATCTTCATGATGAATCAAAACTGCCACCCCCTCTGGCCAATACGGTGCATAGGATCTTAACTTGAACTTATCTTCATGAGGGATCAAAACTGCCACCCCCTCTGGCCCATACATTGAATAGGATCTTAACGAAACATATTGAATAAGATCTTACCTTGAACCTATCTTCATGAGGGATCAAAACTACCCCCCCTTTGGCCAATACGAGAAATAGGATCTTAACTTTTGTTGCTTATCTTCAGAGGGACAAAACCGCCATCCCCTCTGGCCAATACATTGAATAGGATCTTAACCTCAACTTTTCTCCAGGAGGGATCAAAACTGCCACCCCCTCTGGCCAATACATTGAATAGGATCTTACCTTGAAATTATCTTCATGATGAATCAAAACTGCCACCCCCTCTGGCCAATACGGTGCATAGGATCTTAACTTGAACTTATCTTCATGAGGCATCAAAACTGCCACCCCCCTCTGGCCAATACATTGAATAGGATCTTAACGAAAGTGAATAGGATCTTACCTTGAACCTATCTTCATGATGAATCAAAACTGCCACCCCCTCTGGCCAATACGGTGCATCGGATCTTAACTTGAACTTATCTTCATGAGGGATCAAAACTGCCACCCCCTCTGGCCCATACATTGAATAGGATCTTAACTTCAACTTTTCTCCAGGAGGCATCAAAACTGCCACCCCCTCTGGCTAATACTATGAACAGGATCTGAACCGACGAAATAGTTTCTGAATACTACGAAAATAGTTTCTGAATACCACGAGCAGTTTCTGAATCCGACGACAATAGTTTCTGAATACTACGAATAGTTTCTGAATACCACGAGTAGTTTCTGAATACCACGAAATAGTTTCTGAATACCACGAAATAGTTTCTGAATACTACGAATAGTTTCTGAATACCACGAAATAGTTTCTGAATACCACGAGTAGTTTCTGAATCCGACGAAATAGTTTCTGAATCCCACAAAATAGTTTCTGAATACCACGTTTATTTTCTGAATCCGACGAGCAGTTTCTGAATCCCTAGTTTCTGAATCCGGCGTAGTTTCTGAATCCGTCTTTGTCCGTAGTTAGTGTACTGTGATTAGTGTAGTGTAGTTGTAGTTGTAGTTGCTGTAAGGTAATGTAAGGTAAGTGTAAGGTAGTGTAAGGTAGCGTAATGTAGTGTAGTGGTGCGGAGTGTAGTGTAGTGGCGGTTGTAGTGTTGAAACTGCTACAAAACCCTCACGTTTGGCCCATTTTTGGCAATGTGCACACGCGCAAAATCACCTGAACGTCCAAAAGTGCTCGGTGCCCCTCAGTTTTTTGTTCGACAAGTGCTTCGCGCCACAACGGCGTGCACTTTTTCGCCATCTCAACTTCCAAAAGTGGTCTCAGAATGGTGTGTTTGTGCGTTTTGACTTGGAAAGGTGCTTCGCGCCACAACCGCGTGCACTTTTTCGACATCTCAACTTCTAAAAGTTCTCCGAAGCTGAGGTGTTTGTACATGTTGACTTCGAAATGTGCTTCGCGCCACAACAGCGTGTAACTGTTCATCTCTCATCTGGCCAAATGGCTCCGCACCCGCCGCTTTAGCGAGCCTACTTTTCGACCCTCCAGAGCCACAAATCATTGGAAAAAACACAGTGTTTCGCGACTTTCCTGCCTTGTCGAGCACCTGGATCTTCTTTCTTCGGAGACTTTCTCTTTTTTGATCTTCTTTCTTCTCCTCTTCTCTTCTCTGACTCTTCCCATCTCTCTGCCTTTCATCTCTCCATATTGTCGGAAGTTTGACTTCTAACTAAACTTCCTTCGATTTTATGTATGTATATATATATTTATTATTATTACTATTATTAATAATATTATTAATATGTATGTATAATATATAACTATATATATATATGTATAACAACATAAAGCCCATTGTTCCTGGCTTTGGGACCTCTCAGGTCAGACCTGAATATTCTCCCAAGTATGTTCAAAGGATTCTTAAAAGATGTGGGATTCCAGGTTTCACCTGCCAGACTGCCAGACTCACCAGAGGTGATCTGCTGGGTTTCCTGGCCCATGCTGTGAAGATGACACTTCGGGCCGGCATGTTCACACCCATGGCGAAGGTTTCCGTGGCCAACAGGATCTTCCTGCATCAGTGCAGAACATTTCACAAACAGGACAAAAAGCTAAGGAAAAACCATGGAAAAACACCACTGCCGAAGGTGTGATGAGGATCCATCTTGAAACAAATTGAAGTTCAACTGGCGCTCAACTGGCAGAGCTGACACAAGCCCTCGGGAGAACATGATCTCAACTGCCTGGCGAGGCGGAAAAGGGCCAGTGTGGCTGAAGCGATGCGCTTCAAAAAACAAGCCTCTACCGGTGTACCTGGTTATCCCAGAGAAGATGCAACATGTCAAGGTAGGCCTACTGTTCTTAGCCGCTACCATCACACTTCATTTAACAATCCTGCAATCCTGTATCATGAAGCCCTAAGGAAATAGAATCACTTGTCCTGGTACGGCGATTCTTGTGGTTTGATGCGTTTTCAATCAACAGCCGTCACTTGACAACTGCACACTTTGGACCACGCTGTGCCGCCAACAGGCACCTCCTTCACCACTGGAAGCATCCTGGGCTCAGAGCAACATGCAGCGTATGGTCGACAAATCGACAAATCAGTCACTACTTGATCCCATCCCATTAGTACACCCTCGAGAAACCATGGCTAAAAAATTGGGAAACCAACGATGGCGAGCACATCTTTGGGATGGGATGGAGACTGCCAAAGGACCCGCCATGGTGGATACCAACACCTCGACGAGCCAACTCTTCCACCTGCTTCACTGGCTGCCATGGCCGCGTGATCTCAGAATTGGGAAAAGGGAACATTTAGAGGAAAACCTCATCTTGAATGGTAAAAATCAGAAATTCATAGAAGTTCAACAGTTTCAACTGTAAATGGTCCCTGTCAAAAAAAACAGCAATATGGAAACGTTTATATACCCCATGATTCCCCATGACGGTTTCACTTCTCGTTTTCCAAGATGGCCTTGCACACCTGCGGCAACATCTTGTCGGCCTTGCAAGAATTTGAAGAGGACAAGCGGCGCTGGTGCTGCTATCACTTGAGCAATTTGATGTAATTTTTGATGCAATATGGCTATGGCTCAAAATTCTGGGTCAATAACAGTCAATAGCAAAAACGACCAATAAACGGTAGGTCCATTGCCAGGTACCCCAATGGCTTGAGCGAAAACTGACACCCTCAACGCCTCAGAGAGTCGCTCGAAGGCTTTCTTTAAGAAAAGGTGAACCTGCGGAGCTGCGACTGCGAAGCTTCACGACTGATGAAAAGAGAGAGAGAGAGAGACATTTGTACATATTGTGAGAAAACAGGCAATTAAGATGGGCCATGTTAAGTCACAAATCATCTCAAAGTATCATTCTTTGATGCTACCAATGAAGTCTTCGCCACACTGCAACGCTCCAATTAAATTCCAAATGTTTAAATTAACCCATCTTGTTCCAAACAAGATCAGTCCCAACAAAAAGCAACTGCTTGGCATTCCGCAGGTCTTATTTGATTCCACTTCGCACTCAGGTGACTCCAAAACACATGACCATGACCAAATGCCAAAGTGTATCAAAGTGTCATTTCTGTGTTTGTACTCTGAGATTTTACTATTGACTCTGTAATCTGCCCCTTCCGCAACTATTGCACTCAGCTTCAGTCGCTGGACCTCAGAGAATGTGCACAAAATCGATGTTTATTGGAGACATGATAGACATGCTTCTCTGTCGAAAGTCAACCAAAATCAACCAAAACTTGGGATCTGAATCTACGGCCGCAAAGCTTTTCGCACAGCCTGCACTCTGTCAGGAGATGTTCAGCTGTCAGAATGCACTCGATCTATTATGGCTTCATGGAGTGCCTCTTCTATTGTCAATACAGCAGGGAAGTGCATCATAATGATGTTTCATGATGTTTCACTATGTCTCTGGTTTGAGCTTCCTAGTGCATATTGGGAGTGTATCTGGATAGCTTCTAATCAGCCCCAAGATACATTCACTTAGCATCGCTACTTGTAATAGAAACCGTCTCAAAGCGGGAGGTGCTGCATCAAGGACTGAGTGGCTGCCCAGCTTATTGCGGTGCTACATTGCCCTGGTATCATGGCTGGGCAGCATGAAAAACATCCTACAGCTCTGACATGATTGGAAGACCATCTTGCTATTCAATGATACTTCTCCATATGTATTTCCATACTTTTCCATACTTTTCCACATCCACTAAAAGCCACTGGCCTGATTGCCCAGATTGGAATGGATCACCTGCTGCAGAATGGGCAGTTGACACTTGCTTTGTTGCAAGTGCTGCTCGCAGGCTTGTGACACGCAAGTCTGAATGCACAACAGTCTGTTGGCAGCCATCAATATCTTTTTCAGGCTGGGGTACGATGATGGTAGCACACGTTTTCAGCCAGTTCTGCAAATGGTAGGTGAGTGGTGCCTTGCTTGTTGGTTAAAGCGGATTTGTATCTCCGCCTTAATGAGCTTGTCACTTCAAGCACAGTTTGTGCTCGTTGACCCCAACCTGATCTCAGTTCCGACAAGTCAGCAGAAACATAGCGTGCACTTCACGGCACGAATTATGGAGCGACCACGGCATGGAGGCTCAGGAGGCCTGATCCAAATGCAGCACTTGGATTTGTGACTTCAGAACATCCCCAAATTGTGTGAAAACCGTTACATCCATGGCAAATGAGTTTGCCCAAATTCCACAAGGGAATTACCTTTGTTTAAATATATATGTAAATGCCAACGTCGATGAGGAAAATGATCATCCAGTGATAAACCATTGATTTTTTCGGGCTTCTCCATGATTTTTTCGGTGGTAAACCCACAATTTTTACCATCCCATAAATAGATGGCTTCAGAAATAACGATTGCCTGCCATAAATGGAATGTAAAACCCATCCCAAAAAGTACTGCACCTTTGGAGCCGGCGGCCCCTGTGGGGACGGCCGTGCGATGCGTTTGGCCAAGGGTGAAGCTTTCGGTTGATCTGCCATGCCCTGTCCTGGACAAAGGAATCCCCCTGCACCTACCAAGGGATCCTGAGCAAATCTGCATATGGCCGAATACTACTTTCAATTGTCCAAAATAAACGCCGTTGCTCATTTGGGTGCGAAAATGTGGTGCCAATCGACCCACAAGAATTGTCTTTTCGAGTTTTGACCGTCCGAAAAAATAAGGGGTCAAAAGAATTGAAGCATACCGTAGACCCGTAGAACCGAACTGGCAATGGCATTGCTTGGCTCCAGGAACAATTTCTCCATCCGTGATCTACACCCACCAATCAACAACAGTTTTCATGTGCGCATGAATGAGTGTTGGGTGACGTTAGGTGCAACACACAAATGGATACAAATGGGTCAAAAAATTGGTATTCCAAAAATGGGAGAACATCTCCACAAAAAATTGACCAAAATTGTATGTTGCTGGGTGCCCCATGTATAACTCATGACCACATCAGTGAACGTTGGCAGCCAGTCCTGCAGGGCCCAGCTGCATCATAGGATCCGCTGTCATCGCTGGCAGTCCTCGAGCTGACAATTGCCTCAAGGCAGCTGCATCCACGGCTAAAGCGTTTCCAAAGCGTTTCTACTGGATAGGGACTCCCAGAAGTAAAATACAAATCCCCTTTGAACTTGGTTGATGAGATCCCATTGTAATCCCAAGTGGACCCAGTGCATGACTAACACTCCGTCAATGTCACTTTCAACCAGGGATCAACTCTGCTCCAAGGGACCCTCCCATAGCATTTCCATCCAATCCTGGAAGTCCATATCCTGAGCCGAGTTGGACATCCTGATTTCACCACGACAGGCCACTTTCCGCAGCTAAATCTTGATCTTGTGCTACAGGTCGCATTCATAGATTCAGTAGCGGTTCAGTCTAAATTCCATTGCTGTAATGATAGAAATTTGGAAGTTGGCTGGCCTCCAAATATGCACCGAAGCTTGGGGGGGTTGCAGAACATGTTACACAGAACTTTTTCCCAGCCCAGCAATGCCTGGTGGTCCAGGCAAAGGCTGTCCAGTGTGTGGGTCCTGCAGCTCAATTCCGTGTCACTTTAAACAAAGCCATCCACTTTGGCCATGGCCGATATCTTGGTAGGATCTGGCAAGTCTCCTAGGGTGCTTTGCTTCGAAACCACTATCCATCCTCTGAAAGCTTTGCTGAAATGCTCTGAATGTCCATCTGGATGTGGCATTTGTGAAGGACAGAAGTCCTTCAGCGTGAGGGCCAGTTGCAGTGGCTGTTGCGCGCGCTTGTCCACCACTTCCTGGCAGGATACAAGCAACAAATCAACTAAATCAACTAAATCAACTAAATCAACCGACATTTTGAGACATAAAATCTATCTATCTTAAGCATCTTCATATAAGTTCCAGAACAATATCTAATGGTATCGCCAGCTCTAAGCAACGGTTAGGTGTTTCCAGGTGTTTTCTCAGCCTTCCAGAGCTCGCGCTCATGGCGGACGCGATCCAGTTGACTTTCAATGTGCTGCTGGGATATTTGCAGCAGGCGCAAGACGGAGTGGTCAGCCTGGCCATGAGCCATGCTGAGGATTAATCCAGAATCCTGGAATGAAGGATGGATGGGGAATGGATGGGGAATAGTCAATGGATGTCAATAGTGTATTTGTTCAGTGATTTCAAATGGGGAACACCCACAACCCAATCATCCCGGTATACTGCAGGCTTCTTGGCAACCGTTCAAAACACGCGATGCCATAAGATCCATAAGATCCATAGACCCCGTGGCCAGCCTTCTTTCCAAGCAAGTCCAGGATGCTACGGTATTTCTGAGAGGAAACTTGGCGCCAAGTTTTGTCAACCTGAAGTCGTTGCTTGTTCCGGAGCACCATGCGGATACCCAGAGCCACACTTGCTGAGTCTCTTAGTCAAAGTCTTTCTTTTTCAACGTTGCTATGGCGTTGCCATGGCGAACTACGGGTGCACAAGGTTTCTGGAAACGATCTGCCAGGGAAGCTGCAAGATATCTGTTCCATGAACGGTGCTGGCTATCTTTATAGAGCTCCCAGCTCTAGGCTTTTTGAGCTATAAGAGATGCTATAAATATCTATAGAATTCTATAGATTGTTATACTCATGCCAACAGGAGACACGGCTCACGAGGTTCTGTGCACAATCCTCCCAGTTGAGCAATTCCACATCCACATCCAGTTCTTCCTGACACTCGATTGGAGCAGCCTTTTGATCCTTCAACTTAATCAAATAGTAAATTTGTGAGTTGCTGGAGAATATTGGATTTAAGTGAAGTGTTTCATTTTTCTTTGAATTGTGGGTTCAGATTTTTTCAGATACATAGTGTATCACACTGTGTTCCATAGTGTTCCGTAGTAACAAACAAACAAACGAACGAACGAACGAACCAACAAACAAACGAACAAACATTGGAACATGTGTCAACCTACATAGGGTCTACGGCGTTACCCTTTTGCCAATTTCGGCGGCCTCAGTGCCATCATTCATTCGCGCTCCAGGGAATACACCAACGACCTGCGCCAAGAGTTGGCTGGAAGGAATCACATTGACTCAATACATGTGATACAATATATGGTAATATATGACAATATAATATATCATAACTTATCTTCAGACCCTAGACCCTGGACACTGTCCAGGCTTCAGCTCCTAGTCTTGACAAATGCCAGGGGCCCTCACAACGCTCAAACTGTTCTGGTCCCAGCTCCATGAAGAGAGCGAGCCTGACAGAGCTTCACGGTGCCACGTGTAAGCTTGGTGACGTTGTCCTGTCGGGTATGCGGAGCCGATAAAGAATCGAACAGAAATAAGTGAAGGAAACTAAGGAAACGGACTGATAAAATCCAAGCGCCCTCAGGGCAGAGCAGTTGCTCTTTGGATGGATCAGTCGCAATTTCAAGCACTAGCGCCATGCTTTGCGTTGTCGATGTTTGGGGAAACGTTTCGCTTCCACGTTGAGCTGCAATGGAACCCAGTATCAAGCCCACTATGCAGGACACAAATCTGTGCTGAAAGAATAATCGAACAGAAGTAGCCAAGCTCTGGATGACACTGCCAAAACCCGTTGAAGGAGGGTTCAACGGCTTCAGTGGCAAGAACCCAAATAGTTTCCCTCGTGATATCAGTGATATCACAGGTAAGCAATGGTAAGCAATGAAAAATTGTACACAACTGACATCAACTGACCATTCCTCCAGAGTCTGGAAGTTCTTCTCATAGACCTTCTGATCAAGCTCCTGGCATGCCAAAAGGTGCCCACCCCGAAGCCACGAAACCAGCCAGCTGAAGCTCGCGGCGCACCTCGTAGATGCCGTCCACGTCTTGCTTGTGCCGTTGGTTGTCCTCTGTGCAATTATTGGTAGGAACTGACAGAACTGATGGTAGCTGATAGAAACTGCTAGTTTTTTCGACGATAGCTGATAGTAAATTTTATGGCAACCGAGAGAGACTGGCACTATGCTTTTGACCGTTGCTGTATCAACTGCCGAAATCGCGACAATGGCACCATCAGTTGTGACATTCTCCTCTGCCCGCTGACGCTCGAGCTTGCGCAGGTCGTCACTGTTTTTGCCAATGTCCACATCATGAGCCGCGCTCTTCACTGTCAAGTTGTTCACCTCTCCAGAGCTTTGTCAAGAGAAGGGATAGGTGGCTTTGTCATAACCCTGTTTTATAAAGCTATCCTATGGGGATAGGGGAAAATGACATGTTCAACCATGATAAACCCCAATTTGTAGACGCCCATTTCTCATTGCCAGCCATGTGTGATGACACCGGAGGCTACATGATCATGATTTCCATTGTGATTATCCATAATGATTATCCATTTGCATTCCTATTTCTTTATTGGTATACTGACCTTCTCAACCATGATAAACCATGGCCATCCTGTGTCGTGCCTCGTCACGGAGCTTTCCAACGTCGCGCTTGGATTCGCCGCTGGCGCCTGAACGAAACATCACTGGAAGGCAAAAAAGGGGGTTGAAGCAGGGCAGAGTTGTAAGATAAACATAGATAAAACATATCATACCATCATACCATATCCATGTGTTACGTGTGTATGAAAACATGATAATTGATGGTTGTCAGTGGATGACCCTGTTTTCTGGACCTTGCAGTCCCGCAATGCGGAGGTCCAAGGCATTGAGGCGCTTGGCATTCTCCTGTCGCGTTGAGGACTCGGATATCTTTCCAAAATTCAGTGCAAATCTCAGTAGCCCCCAAATCTGATGCGTTAAAAGTTCAAAACCTCATTTTCATTCATGTTCCCCATCACTTCATGGCTAGTTGGAAGGTAATTACAGTATACTTGTACCACAGCTTTTCTGATTTTTCTGGGGCCAGGCAAAGAACGTTGCGTCATGGCCTTGGAGAGATTGGAGTGATGCCTTTCCACACCTTGGATAAAGGGCTCCCAAGCTCCCAAGCATCCAAGGCATAGCTGTTGTGCATAGCTGTTGTGCATAGCTGTTGTGCTATTTTCCTCATCTGATGTGGGGTGAGTTCGATTACAGCTTTAGTCAACTTGAGTCACCCTGAAGAGAACTTGGCTTTGGCCCCGAAACCAACATGATGTCAGATGATCTGGTGCAAAGGACCGGTCTCCAGTCACGGAAATCCAAGCGGCCATCGATGCGGTCGTTCACCTCCTTGTGCAAATCCTCATCTTGTTTCTGCAGGTGCGCTTCAAGTTGGGAATGCCTGCAGGTCAGTGGCAGCACGATGCTTGTCACACCTTGCTGGGTCTACACACTTGAATATCCTGCAGTTCACGTTCGTGAAAGAACAGTAAAGAAACACATGTGCATCTCTCAGTTTCCCAGTGCGGAGTCCTGGTCTCGAAGTCTTCACGATGACTGTCCATCTTCGAGTGGATTTGCAGATGCGTCTCGTTGTGACGGCCTCACCGCCGAAGCGCATCTCACTGGTGCAAAACCGGGTGTCAAATATGGGCGCTCCAACAGGTGGCAGCCAGAGCAACCACGAGTGAGTCTTAAACTTTGATTACATTACTGTTTAAAAAAAATATCTAGTCATTTACTGTCATGTACGGTTATTTAAATCTAGATTTATGATGATTTATGATGATTTATGATCCAATCAGTTTGCATCTGTATCTAATTCCCTCAAGCTTTGTCTTCAAACGCCCAACACAGCGATCTCAGCAGGGCAGCGACATTCGTCCGAGGCACCCAAGACGTCCTCCAGATCCTGGTGTCGCAGGAAACATCCCCAGTTTATTCATAGGGAGTTACCAATGTTTAGTAATTTGTCACTATGATTTGGGGGAACCTTCCCCAAGTTTTTATTTTTTTTTATTTTTTTTTTGTGTTATTAGATAAGTAAGAAATAAATCACTGACTTGGTATCCCCAATTAATAGAGCAGCGTTTATGAATTTGAAGTTGATATTACAAGGCATCTCCACTGTGCTCAACTTGCCTTGCAGTGTTGATGACGTTCATCCAAGCGTTGGGAAACTGTCTGGTGAGTGTCATCCACGTAGCCTTAGGCAAAGTCTGGTTTAAAAAAAAAACAAAGAACGTAGAAAAGATTGGATTTGGTCATACTTTCGGCACTGTTTTTGTAGTTTCAAGAGTCACAACCCTTCTGGCAACATGATCCCGAACACCAAAATTAGCTGACTGCAAATTTTGCAAATGGCTTCAAATGCTTTTGCCAGAAATGTCGCCAAACTTTCAGCTCAGTAGCGTTGGATATTTGAAGCGTTGGTGTCAACCTTCTCTGTCAGGGTCTTCAGCTGCTCACGGAGAGTTCCAACATCCTCATCCACCTTGCGGCGCCTGCTGTCCACTTCCAAGCGCAGTGCTGATGCCATGTCACGGACCGTCTTGATGGAGGCATCGATGTCATCATTCATGTCGTTCCATGCCGTGATGTCCGTTTTCGCATCAAACTTGGCTTGGGTGCTCTGGGCATGCTCACCGATGTCTTCAGAGAGTTGTTGGCAACGCTCGTGAACCTCCTGCAAGCTTTGGGAGACATCCTCCATCCAGGCGTCGTGGGCTTTCAAGGCCTCTTGCATATCACCCATATCCAAACGCATGGTGGAGATCTCGGCCGTCACGGTGGCCTCGCAAACTTCTTTACGTTCAAGGCTTCAGATATGCAAGCCAGAAGTCAGAAGGTAATACCGCAATCGTGACACCTCTTTGCCTTGAAATTTGAGTATGGATATGTACAATTATTTGTCATAGCTTGTGTTCAAAGAAAGACTTACACAACAAGCTATTGCAATTGGATTTCGTGCTATCCTTTTTGATCCTTTTGTAGCCAGCCTCTACGCGCTGGCGTGACGTGATGATGGAATGCGTTGAATCCACTCTTGCGCGCATCTCATCCAAGTCGACATTCACTGCATCCATGGCTGCCTTGGCACATCACGTGGTACCAACGGGTATCCTCTGGGAATCCAACGTAGCTATGGAAAATATGGCCCGTTGGTAGATGATTTACCAATAAAAAATGGCCAGTTTTTTCACATGTTCTTGCTGATCTGAGGCGCTGTAAAGTCCTCCATGTCCCTTTCGCAGGCCAGCACGATTCGCTTGACTTGTGACTGATCATTCTTGGTGCCGTGCAAGATGTCCTTCACATTTCTGCTACACTGACAAGGAAAACTTCCTAAGACCATTTGCTCTTGAACTCTTGAACAAGACTTCTAGAATCAATTATCCGGTCCGAATCAGATACTTCAAACTGCACTGGAAGAGATCCGCACAGGCAAGGCAGAAGCAAGGAAGAAGATCACTTGGAACAGCCACTGTTCATCAACGTGCAAGTCTCCTTCAACTCTCCGATGTCATACTTCACGGTATCCACATCTTGTGCTAAACTCTCCAAGCCGGGCACTGCGGTGTCGCCAGCGCGGGAGCCCAAAAAGGAGATCTTCTTCTCAACATCCTGGTCATCCCATGGGAATCCTTATGGGGTCCTTTTCGACGTGCTGGCACCCTATGGCACAGGTGAATCTCTGGTTTCTAATCGATCCCGTTTTCTCGATATCTACAGATATCGATAGTATATCCCAACTATATCCAAGTAACTTAGTATATCCCAACTATATCCAACTATCCTATCGTAGTAATTTATAGTAATTTAGTATCCCTACCGTCCCTACCTCACCATTTCTCAATGACAGCCCCAGCAGTGCCCTTCCTGGGTCAGCTGTTGAATTTGCGTGGAGACTTGGGACTCAAAGTCCGTCATCCTGCACGGGGGTACCAGATCCACAAATGGCTGGCCATGTTTGTATCTGTGTATATTACAATATCATGTGTATATCATTTGTTTATAATATATATATATATATATAAATATGTATACACTACTATATATATATATTATACATAATGTACAATTATACATCTAAAATGTACATAACCATCCCCAAACGGGAGTCAATGCTCTTAGTAAGTCAACCATCATAATATCGATACCATATTCAACCATGTTCGATCATATTGATACCAAATTGTATTTAAATTTAAAACCAAAAAAACAGCACATTTTTCTTTTTTTGTTTTTAAATTTTCAGCACGTTTTTTCCCCACCTGCCAGGTGAGGGTTGTTAGATTTTATGTCAGTTGCCTCCTCCTGCTCCTCCTCCTCCTCCGCCTCCTCCTGCCTCGTCCTCCTCTCCTCCTCCTCCTCCTCGTCCTCCTTGTCATCCTTGTCGTCCTTGTCGTCCTCGTCGTCCTCGTCGTCCTGGCTCAACTGCGACCCGCGATCCACAGTGTTCTCTGCCGGACCTCAACCACGACCACTCACGCCCAGTGTTCCCTGCCGGACCTCAACCACGACCATCCACGCCCAGTGTTCCCTGCCGGACCTCAACCACGACCATCCCCGCCAGTGTTCCCTGCCGGACCTCACCACGACCATCCACGCCCAGTGTTCCCTGCCGGACCTCAACCGCGAGTATCCCCGCCCAGTGTTCCCTGCCGGACCTCAACCACGACCATCCACGCCCAGTGTTCCCTGCCGGACCTCAACCGCGAGTATCCACGCCAAGTGTTCCCTGCCGGACCTCATGTAGGAAGATTTGCCAGATAGAATGCCAGAAAATCTGCCAGAAGATATGCCAGAAGATATGCCAGATAGAATGCCAAATAGAATGCCAGATAGAATGCCAGATAGAATGCCAGAAGATATGTCAGAAGATATGCCAGATAGAATGCCAGGTAATATGCCAGAAGATATGCCAGATAGAATGCCAGATAGAATGCCAGAAGATATGCCAGATAGAATGCCAGAAGATATACCAGATAGAATGCCAGAAGATATGCCAGATAGAATGCCAGAAGATATGCCAGATAGAATGCCAGAAGATTTGCCAGATAGAATGCCAGAAGATAGAATGCCAGAAAATATGCCAGAAGATATGCCAGATAGATATGCCAGAAGAAATGCCAGAAGATATGCCAGATAGAATGCCAGAAGATATGTCAGAATATATGCCAGAAAGATATGCCAGATAGAATGCCAGAAGATATGTCAGATAGAATGCCAGAAGATATGCCAGATAGAATGCCAGAAGATTTGCCAGATAGAATGCCAGAAAATATGCCAGAAGATATGCCAGATAGATATGCCAGATAGAATGCCAGAAGATATGTCAGAAGATATGTCAGATAGAATGCCAGAAGATATGCCAGATAGAATGCCAGATAGAATTTGCCAGAAGATATGCCAGATCATATGCCAGAAGATATGCCAGATAGAATGCCAAATAGAATGTCAGAAGATATGTCAGATAGAATGCCAGAAGATTTGCCAGTAAGAAAATGTATAAATGTCATGGTGGGGATCACACGAAGTAAAGTAATTTTTTCTAAATTCAACCATGCCATATACCCAGGTCACTTTCCAAGCCCTGTCCTGTTGGTCATCTTCTTCAGCAGTTGGCTGTCACCCTTACTGGCCTTCCCTTCGCCTGCTTCGCCACTACCCAGATCGGACAGCACGCGTGCCTTCCGTCGGAATCGGCCCCTCAGGGAATCATGGGCTGTATTTGCTATTAGCATCTATTAGCTATGATTGGTTAGTATGGATTGGTTAAATTCTTATCAGTACACTTACTAGATGTTAAAATTTATCGTTCATAGGTTGATGTTGATGATACATGCCAAAACTTCCAAAGCTTGACATGCACTGAACTTTGCTATAGTAGAGGCATCGGCAGGATGGGGGCCAAGCGATCGTGTAAAGGAACTCCCGTCCCTGGCAGTGAAGCACCTCGAGTTTCTTGAAGCGCTCATTCACGTCCTGCCAAACTCCAGCACTACATTGGGTTCTTGGATTGATCATAAAATGTATGGAAAAAAACATGCTCTCCTGGGAGAGGGCGTCAGCCTTCTGGTTCACTGCAGTCTGCATTTCGCGAGACTCCTCATTTTCAATTCAATGTGTGGCTTGGGCATTAGCTTGTATCAGCTGCTATCCAGGAATCCAGAGACAAGTCTATGGAACAAAAGTTACGTCACAAGAATATTTGGAGTGGCAAAGTCAAATGCATCGAAGTGTTCAAAACATGATTGAACAAAAGTGGTAGGAACCAGGTAGTTGACAGCCCGAAGACAGGACCCCCAAATGCTGGATTGTTGTGCACAAGCTTCTTTGTGCCACGGTTTGTAATTGAGAGTTCCATATCCAGCATAAAATGTGTTTTTCAATGTTGACTCAAACTGATCTTTCCCCTTTTTCCGACTCCCACGGAAAGCTCATCCCAATCGATCTGTCCTGCGTCACCACTTCAGATGCGTACTTCTTCACATCTCCCAAGACTTGTGAGAGATCGGCTGTTGAAGCATCTTGGAGAGTCGAGAACATTGAATTCGTGTCCTTCGGCGCTGGCAAAGATTGTTTTACAAGCGAATTCCTGAGGAGTTTGTTCTGGATTTCACTGATGAGCTGAAGCTTTTGGCGAAGCACAACGAAGCACAAAGCACCCTCAGTCCTTGAGAACTTCACGAACCTGCTCGCACTCTGAACTGATGTCTGCCAGGCTCATCTTCGAGCACACTTTGCTCACCAGGGAAAGGATACTCTCATTGTGCCTGCAAGAAATATTGCCAGAAATAGCAAGCAAACAAACCTCAGCAGTTTGAAATAAGTTTCTTGGAATCTCTGAAGCCGATCAGTGCTGGCTGCTGTGTTGATTCTTGATGTAAAGGGCAAACATCTCTATGTTCTGCATATGCCGTCCCCGGACCGCGCCTGTGACAGGCTTGCATGGTCTCGATCAAAAGCTTCTGATTGGCCAGCATCTCTGCAAAGCTTCAGCAGGTTTTCTGCAAAGCTAAGTGGCTCGTATAGGTCACTACTTTGTATTTGAGCCTCTGTAAACTTGCACGTACAGAAAAAAATCGACTAGCACTGGTGCACGTAGTCCTTGCAATGCATTGTGATTAAGGAGAGGCTGTGGCCTGGTAAAATATGCTATGGAAAAGTGTGATCAAATTGACTTGTATCTACAGGTGGAAGTGCACCTCGGCAGATGCTAGATCCAAACAGAGAGCTTCATCCCAGTCTTTTGATTCCAAGTTGAGTGTGACGACGAGGTTCCAAAGGGCGGTCTCTTACCGATCATACAACACGAACTCAGACTAAACAACTGAGTCTACCACTATCCAGTCGGTGCTGGAGGATCAACCCAAAGTGACGGTTGGATTTCCCAAAATCTGTGGATGACACCCCTCGTTGAGTTGATCCTTTTGGGCCGACCCATGGTGTCTTTGTCACTGGCTGAGGGCCAGCGCACTCTGCCACCCAATCAGACCCGACACAAGGACCTTTTCATCCGGGTCCAGACAGCCAGCCCCCCACCAAAAATGACCATGGTTCATTTAAACCAAAAAAACAACAACAATGAGGTCTAACTGTTGCTTTATTGTAGACAAAAAATGAGAATGGTTGATTTTAACAACAACAATCCTTTCATATCAATAGTGGATAATAGTGGTACTATTTCCCACATCAGGCCGATCGGAGGCAACTATCGACGGCTTTGCTTTCCCTGGGCAATGCGAATCCTGGACATCACCACCGCATCGGGATTTCGAACACCTTCCAGGAGAAACCTCAGGGTTTTTTTGGAAATTCAGAGATGGGAATCTGTCCAATATGTATGCATCTTTATATTATGCATTTACAGCTATGTATATATATATATACTATGTATAGTCGTGTATGTGTGTATACATATACAGTAATATGTGTACACATGCTATATAATCAAAAATAAATGCAATACATTTGAAATAGAATGATTCCCTTCATGACAATGATCCACAGCCATGACTCATTAACCCCTTTTCAGCTGGGCAACGTGTTTCTGCCACCGTCCATGCCCATGACGGTCAAGGCAATCGTCTTGCTGAGTTGCCATAGCGCATCTTCGGTTCGTTTGTCTAAAGCGTTCCTAGACAATGGGAGAAGTGGCAAACTAGACTAGAAATAAGCAAACAATACCATCTGAGTGAGCCTGCGCATGGGTCAGCATAATTATTAATTAATCTAGGATAATCTTTGGAAATTACTTTCGACCCAAGAAATGCACGCCGCTGAATTGCACGGTATATCATACCCAGCCTCAAAACACTACAAAACCAGCAACCATCTGCCCAAGATGAGGTGGCTGAAATCATTGCACTCGAAGCATACAAGTGCATGATGTTTCCATCAGTCTCTGCAAGTGTCTGAAAAGTACATGCTACCCGAATTTCATATATGCACATCCAATAGTATCCGCCTATCAATGTAACCATCTAATTCTATCAACGAAACCGCTCCAGTGTTTAAGCTTTTGCAAGGTCTGTTCACAGTCGAAAGTTTGCCAAAGAACTTTCGGATGAACTCTTCCATGTCATCTCGCCAGTCACCTTTTCTCCTCCTCCGACTTCTATCTCCTCGCCTCCGCCGAGGTTTCAGGCAGCATGGAATGATGGCAGCGTTATCGAATAAAACACGGTGCAGCTTCACATGAATTCAAAATGAAATCGAATTGCAAAATGAATTCAAGATCCAGAGGGAACAATTCTCCCTCGAAATGGCTCTAAAAAAGAAATCAAGAGAAAAACAGCCACAAAAACCGTAAGCCGGAGGTCACCCTTGGCACCCACCCAAGCATCCGGATGGGTCAGGAAGGTTGCAGGTGCATCCCCTTGCTGTTTCCCTTTATCATTACTTTTCAGAGGCTTTGAAAACAGATGAAATGGTTTTGGTCTTCTGGATCTTACGACTTCTGATTTATGTAGCTCCTCTTGTACTCTTGGAGTGCTTTTACGAAAGCATTCAAAAGAAAGTTCGAAGGTAAACCTTTTCGCTGCAACCCCAGAGGTTCTTGAGGCCCTTGTGACGCAGTTTCAGAGCATTCAAAATGGACATGTAAACTCTGAGGTACGAATCTTGGGTTTTTCAGTTTGTTTAGTTTCCCTTTTTCGCCTTTTTACATTGCCAAAAAACTCATCTCCGGCCTTCGACCTCGATCTCGATCCCGGCGCCGATCACGTCGACCGCGGTCCCTCCGCCGATCCCTGCTGCGGCTGCGGCTTTCGGAGTAGTAGTCGCTGTAATACCTAACACGTTCATGGCGCATGACTATGGATGATCAGGTGGTAATCTGGGATCAGGAGCCCGAATCGTATCGATAGCGCCAGGGAACACTCATTCTCGGTTTGTGTGTGTGTGTGGGCCATCTGAAAAGATGTAAAACTTCCTTTGTTTCGATGATGGTTGTTTTTCGTGGTTTTCGCTTTCGAATTATACTTGCAGGGGGTAGCGGCAGATCATTTGGGACCGCTACCAACGAAGACACCCATTTGATCTGGTGATACAGATTGGGACGCCAATCTGCGTACCTGCATCAATTTTCATTTCCGTCCATGGCAACCGGCCAAGCCAAGAACCGGCATGTCGATTTGTTTTCAACTTCTTTTCTGCACTGTTGCCACAATCTGCCTATTCTACGAATTTTATGATTAAAAAAGCTGCATCAGAACCTTCCTCAGAGCAAGGACGTAGAAAGTTTACTTCGTACTGAAATTCACGCTGGATCAACAAATTTTCCTGGCAGTTTTTAAGGGACTGTTTTGTGCACGTGAGATGCATTCCACAACAAAATTCGCATTGCTGTTTCTGAGCAAGTGTGTCATTCCTGCTGTTTACGTCAAGTTGGCAGGAACCCTTCGGGGAAAGCCTTTCCAGGCTAACAATTGACAGTAAAACGATGTCTGAATTTACACTTTTGAATTAGTAATTCGTTTAAGTAAAGTGAACAGCTGGCCTTTTTTCATTGTTTCACATGTCGGTCGGGAAGTGTGTGTTGAACAACTGGCCGCTGTACCGGGCCTTCTTCCTTTTCGCTGACTCGCATAGTTGGAAGCCACGACAACAACCTCCCTGTTGCTTCAAGAGACTGCCCGCAGCCATTTGACATGAACAGGTAACAGGACATGCTTTACAGGTGTGGTCTCTTCCTTTTGGTTACTTTGGTGAGGTTGAAATTGTGCACGTAATTCAGGGGTTGAACACGTCAGCTGTCCAGAGGGTTGTGACTTGAAAGCCGAGGGCCTTGAGCCTTATCACGAATACTGCATGAGTTGTGGATGCATCAAATGTTAGTGATTTTACCATTATAGTGATCGTCTGACAGTGCTGCCAGACCTGTCAAATTTGGCCATGTTTCCTGGTCGTTGGCCAAACCTTTCGGAGAACATGTGGAACTTTGGCTGGTCAGCGCCTGCCTTTACTCCACCTCAACCTGCAGCACAATTTGGTCAATTTGTGGAGGTGATATGATGAACCAACAGTCTCAAGCTCAGTCACAAGCTCAGACTCAAGCTCAGTTGTCCAAACACCTCCTGCTCCAACTCCATCTCAACCCGTTCAACAAGGGCCCAACATCACTTTCAATCCAGAAGAGATGATTCAACAGATGCGTCACACAGTTGAATCGGGCATGCAGGCGTTTATGGAAAAGACCAAAGAAAGGTCTAAGAGTCCTCATCCAAGTGTGACACAACTTCCACCAGCGACTCCAGTCGCAGAGTCTCCACCTGTCGTCCCGTTACCACCACTTCCACGGCTTCATCGCCGTTCCAGGTCACGGTCAAAACACATTCCAACTCAAGTGGACAAACGTCCAATTTCGATCCCGAGAAGTCCAAGACGTCACAGACGTGATAGCCGTCCACGTCATCGTCGACGACATTCCCGCTCACGTGATGACTCCATGCCTCCAAGCCGTCCCCAGTCAGTCACTCTTCAATCCAACTCCCCACGTCATCGTGAAGTACCACATCAGCGAGATGAACATCGTCGACGTGATGATTATACTTATCCATCCACTACCCATCTACCTGAACCTTGGAACGACCATCACTACGAACAACCTTCAATCTCCGACAAGTCGGACTACCATGACCACTCCACCTACCATGACCACAGCTCCACCAAAAAGTGGAAGTCCTGGCAGTCTTGGAAAGACCAGTCCAAGTCTCAATATCACACACATCCCTCCGGATGGGTCGACTATTCAAAGCCGTATTACAAACATCAATCTTATGATGAACCGCCTTCCAGATATCCCTCAAAACCTTTGACGGCATTCTCGCTGGACCAGCACTCACACAACCATGGCAATCATCCCAATCGCTCTGGTTCTGCTCAGTCCCGAGCTTCCACTCTTCCACCTGGTCATATTGCCATCAACCTTCAAGAAGGTTCCAAAGAGGAATGGGCTCGTCAAGTCAAACATGCTCTCACCCATCCCGATCGGATGAGAGCGGCAAATGAACTTGATGCCAAGGAGCTTCCACAACCATCCACGAGTATTGTCCAAGAGCACTTCGAGGAAGCGATGGAAGAACTGAATAAAGTGGATTCTAGAATCCCAACAGACATTGGCAGGAAGGCCATACATTTATTGTCGAGTACTGGCATCCTGACAGATTTTGATCTTTCCGCATGCTATGTTCGAGAACTTCCTCAAACAGGCATGCTGGCCGTGGTCATGCCGTTACCAGAAATGAGTCGGTTTCAAATGCCCCCACCTTTTGGCGGCCAAACCCTCATCACATGGGCACTTGGCCATGGTACGACCCTCAGTACCTCCCAGTTGATTCTCATGGAGGGAAAGATCCGACCAGCAAACTGGTCCTATCACAAAAATCCACAGCGATGTCACATGCCCACCTTTGGAGCCTTCTACATAGGCCGACAGATTGCGAATGCTGATAAGAACATCCCATCATGGGCAGAACAGGAA